AAGCCACAGAGGTCCCCACCAGCACCCCTTCACTGCTCCACCGCCCCACAGAGAGGGTGAAAGCGAGGCTGACCTTAGCCATGATGTGACGGTGAAAGGACAACGAATTTATCTGTTTTCAAATTGGTGCCTGGCATTTGTCATTGGTCTCGGTCCGGCTGGGGGGAAGGTTGCCTATGTCTCCTGGCTCACAGCCAGTTTGTGTTGGGCTGCAGTGCAGATGCCAGGCCTGCTGGGTTGTGCCTCCGGGTCCCTGAGGTGCTCCTCCCACAGCCTCCCTGTCTCCAGGTCCCTGTCTCGAGCTTCACAGCAGCCTCCCTGTGTCACCATGTGAGGTGCCTGACCCCACAGCAGCCTGGCACGCTTCAGGAAACAAGACTGGTGGTGCCAGACCTCTGTGGAGCCCTCTGATGACAGCCACCATGCAGAATTCCATCCAGCTCCTCCCACGGCCTGCACCCCGTAGCGTGGTCTGGCCCCTGCCCAGCCTTCCTCGCCTGGCCGTGGTTTCTTAGCATGGAAAAAACCTCCTGGCCGCTGAGCCTTGCGCTCACTATCCAATGCTGGGGTTTCCCTCTCGTGGTTTTCTGCACAGCTGGTTCCATTTTTAACTGTGGGCCACTTAGATGTCACTTCCTCAAAGTGTCAGCTCCTTTCTGCACGTGGTCACTCTAGCCTGTTGGCACATCTTCGTTCCTTTGCAGCATTGTCACTCCTTGGGCTTGTCTTGTTCATTATTGTCCATTTCTCCCTTCGAGAGTTTGAGCTACCCAAGGGAAGAGGGCCCTGGAGCATTTTCTTGTTTAGTAATCGACCCTGGGTTCTGCTGGTGCCTGGCGTGTGAGAGGCGTCGGTGGCTTCTTGTGGGCCGAATGGCTAGTGACAGCGTCCGTAGCCTGGCTAGGAGGTCTCAGGCGTGCTCGCCGGTGCACTCCTCTGCTACTCTCTACCTCCAGGCTGCTGCTGAGGTCGTAGAAGGCGGCAGCTCAGTGACCCAGGAGGCTGGGGCAGGCCATGGTCCCAGCCTGAGACTCAGTGTGCAGTTGGTTGCCTGGGTCTGCACCTGGGGAGCTTTCTCGCATCTGGCTATGTGCCTTTAATCAAAGCAGCCAAGCGCAGTGCACTTTGGACCACAGATGGCGAGGGTGCCGTTCATACCAACACCTCCAGTGCCGTGAAGAGCGAGTGCTTTGGTGGGTCACAGAAGGCCTCTCAAAAGGAAAAGCGCAGTGCAGACCAAGAATGTTCCCCAGTGGAGAAGATAGCTTCACGTGCCCATGCGAGCGAGAGAGCTTTTAGCAGCAGAAACTCATTCATGGCTCAGGGTAAGATCAACTTGCCCAAGAAAGCAAGGATCTAGCCGTTTAATTTTCTGCTGCTTCCTGTGACCCTATCCTAGGTTCTAGCAAGAAGTGAAGAGAAAATCTCATCTCAGAGTTGTCAAGGTCAAGTTCAGCCAAGGTTTCTGTCCACTCAGTGATGCAGTTGAAGAGCAGCTCTAACCGCGGTCCCCTCCTTGGGCAATCAAGGCGTGCTTGTATGAAAATGGACCTTAGCCAGGCTTGGTGGCTCAGTCTGTAATCCCACGCCTTGGGAGGCTGAGGTGAGTGGATTGTCTGAGCCTGCGGGTTCAAGACTCGCCTGGGCCACTTGGCAGGACCTCATCTCTACAATAAATCAAAAATCAGCCGGGCGTGGTAGCGCATGCCTGTAATTCTGGCTACTCGGAAGGCTGAGGCGGAAGGATCGCCGGAGCCCAGCAGGTCGAGGCTGCGGTGGCCGGGAGCGGCCACTGCATTCCAGCCTGGGCGACAGAGTGAGACTCCAACTCAAAGAAAAAAAAAAAGAAAGAAAGAAAACGGACCTCGGTACCACTGCTTGCCTGCCATTTCAAGAAGTGTGGCCGCTCTTGTTGTGCCCTCGAAAAGCTCATTTCCTCTCCCTCAGGAGGACCGAGCCCACCCAGATCCCTGCCTCCCTTTGTCCAGGGCCAGTTGCAGCCCTGGATTTTGAGGTGCTGAGGTTTCCCGCAGTGGTGGTGAGATGCCCGGGCAGGCGAGCCCTGCGAGAGTCCTCCAGGCTGTGCTTAACCCTGATGGGCAGATACCCAGGCCTGTCAGTGTGGGCAGACCAGCAGAGGGGACGTGCCCGGGGACACATCTGTGTCCGAGAGGAAGGACGGAGATGATTCCTGTCTGCTGGCGAGACACGCCACTCGGGCAGAGGGGGCTGTGCTGCCCCTCGGCGCCTGTCCTGGGCCCCCAGGCGGCTCGCTGACCATCACTCCGACTTGGTCTGGTCAGCATGTCTCATGGTTGCAGCCCTCACTCCTAGGGCCTGGCCCAAAGCACTCACCCTGCTGAGGTGGTCAGATACAAAGAAGCGAGCGTCAGAGTCAAGTGCCTGCTTTGGTGTGGAAGCAAATGGCCGGCATCTTTGCCCTCTGACCCCAGGCCATGCTGTTCCCAGTTCAACTCTGGGTATAACCCAGAGCCAGGAGCAGGGAGGAGCAGACATGGCCTCCGGGAGCTTGGCGTTGCTGGAGACCCCTAGAGCCTGAGCCTGCCCGTCCCCCACAGCGGGGTGGCCAGAGAGCCCAGGGGAGTCAGAAGGCCTGAGGCAGCGCCACTGCGAAGACCCAGCCCTGCAGGTGCTCAGTTCGTAGCTGGCCACTTCCTGCCAAGGCAGCCCCTGGCTCCAGCGGGAGGGAAGGAGTGGAGCCCTGAGCCGGCTCCCTGGGCTCACCTTGCTCTCTGCCTCCCAGCTGACCCTTGGTGCGGTCACTTCTGTTTCCTCGTCTGCATGGTGGGACCCGATGCCTGGCATTCGGGGAGAGCTTGCTTAGCAGAGGTCAGCTGATGTTCTCACTGTAAGTGGACTGGACTACACGCGGCAGGACAGTGGGAGGTGGCTTTCTTGGCAACCAAGCATCGGGTTGGAGGTGGTCACACACAGATGCTTTCCCTAGGACATCCTGCAGGATTCGGCCTGTGGTGTCCGTTCTGAGGCCTCTCCCTGCCTGGGGCCCACCTAGAGACATACCGGGCAGGGTAACCCTAGGGACAGCTGCACGTTGGAGTCCTACTTTCCTGGGAGCACCCCCAGAGCCTGTCTGGCCTGAAAATGATTCGGGGGTGAGCTGTGCAGCTCTCTTTGGTTCCTGGCCTCACCAGGTGGATGTGTCGGGCACCAGGCTCTGTGCAGGCTGCCCCTACCTGATCAGTGACACCTTCCATACTGTGGCTGTTGCTCCTGATGGGAAGGAAGAGAAAGCCTTGGCCTGAGTTCTGGCTCTGTCTCCTGCCAAGCCATGCTTGTGGACAAGCCACTTAGCTTCTCTGAAAAATGGGTGTAATTAGTACTCTCCTCCCTGCTCTTCCGTTGTCATGAAGATTTTTCACCCATGTGAGAGCATTTTCTAAAATGTGAAACACTAAGATAAGGCCTCGTAATTGTTGCTTTCACATAACGTTATAACCAAAGAACCATATTATTACATAATGGGAAAGAGCAGTTGGTTTTGATGACTTCCTTGAGGCTTTTGAGTATGTGACATTCATAGGCACATACGTGCGTGTGGCCGCCAGAAATGGAATTTTTTTTTTTTTGAGTCAGAGTCTCACTCTGTAGCCCAGGCGGAGTGCAGTGGCACACTCACGGCCACCCCAGCGTCAACCTGCTGGGCTCCGGCAATCCTTCTGTCTCAGCCTTCCAAGTAGCCGGAACTGCAGTGTGCGCTATCACGCCCGGCTCATTTTTTGATATATTGTAGAGACAAGGTCTCTTCAAGTTGCCTAGGCTGGTCTGGAATCCTCTCGCCTCGGCTTTCCAAAGTGCTGGGATTACAGGCTGGAGACACCACACCCGGCCTAGCAATGGAATTTTTAGAGACTTTCTCTTCAGCTGGAGGGACTGTTTGAATGTCACAGTGAGTGGTGGGTGTCCTGTTCAGACCGTGGAGTCAGTGCACTTCTCTCGCAAGGCCAGCCCATCAGTATTCCTCTGAAGAGTAATGGGAGCCACCCAAGTACTTGATTTACATCCGCGCTGAAAGATGATGGGGAGATGGTGGCTCTCGGCCCGCATCTCAAGACCTGACTGTCTTGGGATATCCTGATTAATGGACTGAGCTGTTTGAATCAAACGCCTGCCCAGCGGGAGGATGAAGAGAGACTTCATTAGTCAAAATGAGGAAACCCGAGATCAGACATCGTGGGAGAGACCGAAGGATGCTGCCGCCGTGGAGACGGCCAAGTGATGCATTCAGGGTGGGGGACGTGTTGGGGGAGGGGGCCGGGAGCCACACGTGGCCGCGGGAGCACATGGGCTCCGTGAGAAGCATCCAGGTGCCAGACAGGCAGCAGAGGGCCCTTCCCAAAGAGCCCAGATGGAGCTCCTGGCGGGGCCTTGGAGTGGCCCCGCATTCCCTTCAGTTCCCGCGGAAATAACTTAAACCCCGTGTGGCACTGCGAATGGCTGACCTGGGCCCTCTGCAGGGAGACACGCATGCCACTGAATTGTCCAGGAGAGCCATGACCCGGTACCTCCCTAGCCTGCGCACCCACTAGTGAGGACGGGGAGAAGAACCCACGAGCGTGTGCTCAGATGCCTGTGCCTCCACCCACTTGCTGTCCCTGTTGGCACAGCTACTCCCGCAACCCCCTCGAAGCTTGGCGTGGCCTGCTATGTGGTCCTGACAGAGACCCGAGGGCACAGAGGAGAGAAGGGAGCTGCTCCTTGGAAGCCAAGGTGGGCCCTCCTGGGACCTCATCTTGTCCTGTCCTGAGTCTTTACGAGGGAGCGCTGCATGCCGCCGGGATGGATGTGACCATGACTCTGCGGTCCTGGAGTCCAGGAGTGTGCGCAAAGCAGCACAGTTACCGTGGAACAGATGGCCCACACAGGCTCTTGGTGTCTGCTGGGGCTGCTGCCCGTGGACCTTTCCTGGCCAGCACGTGGCGACACAGAGCCGTGTGCACCTGTGTCGACTGCAGACTTACCTTGGAGCGAGGCTGGCGGACTTGGCTCCCATCGGCGAGTCCAGTCCTTCCCCCGGCTTTGCCGATTTCTCTCGGTTCATCTGCTGCAGGATTGAGTTCAATTCACTAATCACATTTGCCTTTGGGCCTGAGAGAATCGGGCTTTTGACTTCTGGGACGTCGCCCCACAACTTGGAGGTCCGTGGCTGGATCACCTTGGCCATCCCGGGCTGGACGCTGCCCGGCGGGGGCGGGGGGGCGGGCGGGGGGATAACAAAGCTATCTACGTCCTCTTCCACGAGCGCGTCTTGGTAAAGTGCATTGCTTTTGTGAATTATGGGCTTCATTTTTGGCTTGGGAGGTACCGGGGGCTTGTCAACCATCAGCGCTTGCCCGTCTGCATAGACTGTGCAGGTGTCCACGTTGTCCCCGCCCTCGGAAGACAGGGTGGAGATGCTGGACACTGTGGAGATCGTGCTGGTCGTCTCGAGATGGTGCTCGCTGCTGCTGCGGCTGTCCACCTCCTCGATCCCAGAGTCAGCGACGGCATCGAAGCTTTCGGGGGGCGGCAGGAACGAGGCAGGCAGGCAGTTGGCAAGACCGGCTGGCTTCTTGCTGTCTGCAGAGTTGGTTGGTTGGCTGGAGTCCAGCGCAGGGGACGGAGGGGTGTCGTTTTTCTTCTGCTTGACCAAGTCTGTGAGAGTCGGGACAGAGGCTGCGCGGTCGTCGGGGATATCAAAACTGTTTGCAAATTCCAGGGGAGGAGGCAATGGCTCTGTAAAAATGAAATCCTCATCCAAGTCCACGGATGCCAGAGGGGGAGGAGGGATGCGGAATGGCAAAATCACCGCCTCTTCCAGGGAGCCCACCGTCACGATGGTTCTGCCGGGCGTGGCGGCGGGCTCGGGGGCGGCGGCGATCTGTAAAGCACCTTCGGTTTCGGGAACACCTTCTGGCACCGCGGACGGCGAGCTGTCCGGCTTCATGTCCACGTCGGCCCTCTCGTCCTCTTCCTGCAGGGAGTCGTCCAGCTTGGCGGCGTCCACCGTGTGGACCATCAGCAGGCCGGCCGACTTCTGCTGTGACGTGTCCACGATGTTGATCAGCATGTTCTTCTTGTCGTCGCCTTTCCGGTCGGTCTCGTACTTGTTCTCCGTCTCCTGCCGCCTCAGAGGCCCGCGGGTGTTCTGCCTGGCGACCGGAGGGAAGCCTGCTTCCACGCTGGGCCGCATTTTGGTATCAATGTAAAGAGGTTTGTTGAGGTCGGCCTTGGGGGCCTCCCCCTTGGGGCCCTGCTGGGACTCCTTCATGGCTCGGTCCCGCGCAGACAGCGCCAGGGCCAGCGGGGAGCTGGGGTCGAGCAGCCTCCCTGTGAGCGGGTGGACGTAGTTCTCGGGGCCGCCTGCGTGGCTGCTCTTGGGGGGCGCCACCGGGCTGCTCTCGGGCCCCTTGGCTTTGGACGTGGAATTCAGGGGCCTCCCGGCCTCCCCCTGAGCACCAGCCTCGCCACCTCCCAGGAAGTGGTTCTCGGGCTCCCTGGGCACTGCACCTGGCATGGGGGATGACAGCTGCTCGGCGCCGTCCTCGTCGCCAAAGCCCCCCTCCTCGGGGAACGTCGAGGGCCGCATCCTGGGCGCGGGCGGCCCCAGGCCCACGTCCTCGTCCCCCAGGTCTGTGGAGAGGAAGGCCGGGGAGTTCCTCCGGGCTTCGAGCCGCTTCTCGCGGTCGCGCACGGCCCCGGCGATGGCGGCAGCGAAGGGGCTGCTGACGCCCAGGCTGTCGTCCGGCCGCAGCTGGCCCGGCGGCTCTGGGGCCTGGGGGTCGATCTCCATGCTGCTGCCCTGGCTGCTCTTGCCGCTGCTGCTGGTGGACGGCTCCTTGACGATGATGGTGGGGATGGGGATGGAGCACGTCTTCTCGGGGCTGTCCTCCACGTTGGACTGCTTCACCAGCATTCCCTTCCGCCGCGCGGGCTTGGCGGGCACGTAGACGGCCTTGCTGGCGATCTTGCCCACCTCGGAGTAGGGGTTTTCGGGCATCTGGCCCCTCTTGGCGCGGAAGCCGGCCGGGGGGGCGGCGCTCCGGCTGTAGAGGTCCTCGGAGTCCAGGGAGTAGCGGTCCAGCTCTCGCCTGTAGTACATGCCCTTCTCCCGCATCATGGTGGCCACCGTGTCAGAGCGAGTGGCCGGGGACACCTTGGCGGCGGGATTCTGGTTGAATGCGGGCTTGATTGTCCCGTAGACTCTTGGAGTCGGGGACTTGGGGCAGTTGTAGGTGGTGGGGGAAGGCGGCGGAGGGGACGGGGGCACAGACTGCGGCGGAGGGGGGATGTCCTCGGAGGTGTCCGGCATGGACAGGCTTCTCGTGAACTTGAGCATCGGAGGAGCCAGGAATTGTCGCTCTTCCTCCGTGATTCCTGCAAGTAGAAAGCAAGTTTAGTTTTAAGTTGCAACCATCGCAAGACCCCGCTAAGTTCCTAGGATTGTGCGATATGCTACGTCTCCAGACTCACAAACTCACACGAACACGTGTTCACGAAACACAGCACAAGCCACGATGCCAAGTGGGGAGTCGGAGGCCCGATCCGAGCCAATGGGAGAGGAAGGAGAGACAGGAAGGCGCTGGGGCTGTGAGTGCTGCGTGGTGTGGTGTCTCCGGGGCGCGTGCCCTGGTGTGGGAGCCGCGCCAGGCCTGGTGGGCAGGCGGGGACCTCCCGGGGCTGCGTGCGCATGTGTGCTTACGTGCTCGCTCTTGTGTGGGCAGTGGGGGCTGGCCAGACCACAAGGCTTCCATCCACCCATGCCTTTTCAGGGCGTTTTTAGGGTGGGGGGCACTAAGGCTGTCACCTGTCTGTCGGAAATAAGGGAGCAGGGCATAAGGCCTTCAGGGGCTGCTGCATTTGCTCATGTGGCATGGATGCTACCCCCGGGCTGGGGGCTGTGCCACTCTCCAGTGGGCACGGAACGCCGGGCTTGCCCAGATCTGCTGGGAGGCCTGCCCTCCTCACAAGCTGCCTGCCCCCTTCATGAGCTGTCTGGTGGTGGCCCTGTGTGTGCTCCGAGGAGGGGCTTCTCTTCAGAGTGCCGTGAAGTCCTTTGTCGCCTGACCTCACTGGCCCGCTGAGGACTCTGTGCGTCCCAGACCCCAGTGGAGGGGCAGCTGTGAGCTGGTGACTCCGAGAAGCCATGTGGGCTCTGGGACATGGCCCTGACGGGAGTGACTCCAGCCCCAGCCAGGAGCAGGATCCTGAGCAGGAACTCTTGGCTTCAATGCGTCCCTCTTGGCTTGTCACAAAAGTTCGGGACCCTGTCCTGAGACCCTCTGGAGGGGCTGAGGGGCACAGCGGGCTGCCACGGTCATGACCAGCCAGGGCCCAAGATCTCCTGACATGGGGCAGAGTCCTGGCCCACGAGTTAACTAGTGAAAGCTTATGGGTGCTGGGGGTGGGGCTGTGGCTGAGGCCTGCGCCCGCCAGCAGGAGGCCTGAGCTCCCTGGGCACGTCGGCTGGGTGGGACTTCACAGACTCTGTTCAACAGCCCGAGACAGAAACGTATCAACAAAGGGCACCGAGGAGAGGGAAGGACACGCACACACGCCACAGACACACAAGACTGGGGTCTCATGGCAGGGGCATGCGGGGTTCTCAAAGAGGCAGCAAAATAAATGACTGGAAATAGAAAACATTTCCTAGGACAAACTACAGTAAGTTATTCCAGTGAAAAGTTCCACTTGATAAGGGTATTCCAAATTCGACATACTCCTTGTGGGAGAGCACTTGGGCACTGCACAGGGCAGGTGCTAAGAGCATTCTCCAGTGACGCTGACTGCGTGTCGGTCGCCTGGTGGTGACGTTCCCAAGGAGTAATAATTTAAGAATACACCTTATTAGGCCAATCAGATTACATTCAGATTACAGATTCCAAACTGTAAGGATTCACTAACCTGATAGAAAGATTCTGCTGTCTGACAGGAGGAAATCAGTTGTTATTAGCCAGTCAAAGAGCCACGAGACACAGACACAGCTGTCCCTGAGCTGGGGGCGGATGGGGCCTCGTGCCGCAGACACCGCCTCCGCAGCCCCTCGTGCCTATGCCTGCCTACGGTCACCCACCGCAAAGTCGGGCAAGCACGCTACTCCTGCACCCAGCAGCCTGGAGACATTTCCAGAACACACGGACGGTGGCCCCGGCAGCCAGGGTCCAGCCAGCGTCTCCCCCCTTTACCGAACAGAGGCCCCACATGACCCCCTCTTGACAGGGCAGGGGCCCCGCCTGACCTGCCTCTTGACAGGGCAGAGGCCCAACACAATCCCCTCTTGACAGGGCAGGGCCCCTGCATGACTCTCATCTGGGATAGGGCAGGGACCCCACAGGACCCTCCTCTTCACAGGGCAGGGGCCCCACGACCCCCTCTGGACAGGGCAGGAACCCCCAACACCCCCTCCTGACAGGGCAGGGGCCCCACATGATCCCCTCTTCACAGGGCAGAGATCCCGCCTGAACCCCGTTTTAGGGGTCCTGGTGTCTGGTAGGGCCCTTAGTGCTGCCAGAATGAGTATGGGAAATACAGTGCTGGGTTATCTCACAAAGGGTCAAGTTTGACCTTGTCTCAAGGTAGGTTTACCTTTGCCTGTGACAGAGTCCATGGGAATAACTGTGACATTAACGATAAAGGTAAGCAGTTTCCTAAAACACACCAGTGACTTTATTGGCATTTGAGAACCTGACCCGCCTGTCCTGAGAAGCGTGTCTGTTGAGCCCACGGCAGGGACCTGGGAATGGAGGCGCCCTCACACTGCCCACTCTGACCTGTGCAGGGTGGGTGGGAAACTGGCCTGGACCACCCATCCACTCTCCACCTTCTTTCCCGGAAAGCCCCCCATCGCCCTGCTGGTATTATCGCAGGTAACCTGGTTTCAAGAGTGGGGAACTCGTATTTATCGAGTGGAAAAGCGTCACCCCACTCCGATGGGTATCTGGCAGTGAGACCGGGGTCCTGCCTCTGGTGGGTGAGCTGGTGGGGACTTGCCGGGGCAGGGGTGCCAGGCTACCATGGGCTACAACTCGGGGACTCTGGGGCGGCGTTTGAGAGCTGAGGGGCGGCTTGGGGGGTGGGCCACGCTGCTTACCTATGGATTTCTGCCTTCGCATCGTACCTCGAGGGATGCCCAGAAACGGGCCTTTTGGGCTCCCGGGAACAGTGGGCGTCATCACGGCGATCCCTTGGCGTTCGTACACGGACTGCAAACACAGAGCCCGGGGTGAGACGTGGCCCTGGTCAGCCCCCCATGGAGACAGGGCCCAGAGGGCAACGAGGGACTTCTGTCACAGCGGCCTCCCTGGTCCGCCAGAATTCCCAGCGGGGCTGATGAGAGGTACCAGCCTCTCCTGGTATCTCCACTGGGACGGGCCTCTGTCCCTGGGAACACCGAACAGCCTCTGTCCCAAGCCCCTCTTCAGCATGTGAGCTCCCTGATGGCCTAGGAAGGTGGGCGCAGCACGGACAGCTCGCTCCAAGGTGGGCACCCCGTGTACCCAGCCCTTTGAGGCAGTTCTAGTTCTGAGCCAGCTGTTGACCAGAGATTTCCAGCCTGAGATTTGTGGGGGGGACCTCCTACCTGCAATGGACGGGTGGCCTCTTCCACGCCAAGCACTTCTGTGCTCAGGGCGGGCTGGGAGCTGAGACCTCCTCGGTGTCAAGAGCACCCCCAGCACCCCGTATCCATGAGCTCACAGATCCTCGGCTGAGTGTGTGGGGTCGCCCTTGGGGCTCGGGCACTGTGCATCTGAGCAGAGGCCGAGGTTGCATGGACCATGAGAGGCGAGGTTGGCCTCCAGCCTGGTCCGTACCCCGCTGTGGCTCTGCACTGGACCAGGGTGCATGTGCTGCAGCCACGTAGGCGTGTGTTCTGTGTCGAGACAGCCTCGGGAGCGGGAGCCTCCACTCACGCGGAGCTCTGTCCACTCATGCGGAGCTCTGCCCACCTGCTTCCTGGGTCTCCCTCAGGCCCGCTCCCGCATCTGGGGCCACTCACGTTCACGTCCGAGATGGTCGGGAAGCACCGGCTGGTGGGCCGCTGCTTGATGGTGGCCACCCTCGACTCCACAGCCATGTTCTCAGCAGCACGGGAGGGCTTGGAGGCCGGGACTATCTCCTCGGGTTTATCTGTAACATAACCGAGAGGGTTGGCGTGGGCCTGCACCATGATCGTGTTGGGGAGGCAGGGCTCAGGAAAACGTGGAAGTGCGGTGAGCACTCCAGTACCCAGAGAACATAGGTGGGCACCTGCCTCCGCTGCAGGGCTTGCGTGTGTCCTGCCACGTACATGCTCACTGGAGTGCCATCTTGTGCCCCAGATCTTGCCCTGGGAGGTGCGTGTCTACAGACGGTGAGGGCCCCACGGCTCGGCTGCCTTCTGAGAAGTGCTCGCCGGGGCCCTGAGGCTTTTTTTGAAAAAGTAAGTCATTTCTTTTTAAAGCATTTTAATCTTTCATTCTTTCTTTTAGAGACAGGGTCTTGCTGTGTTGTCCAGACTGGAGTGCAGTGGTACGATCATGGCTCAATGTAACCTTGAACGCCTGGCCTCCCACCGTGCTGGGATTCCAGGTGTGGGCCTCCCACAGTGCTGGGATTCCAGGTGTGAGCCACTGTGCCAGGCTTGAAGTCCTTTTTTTTTAAATCGTGGACTCACTCTATTCTTACTAATGAGATGTATTCTTGACAGTGTTCACTAAACCAACTTCTGGAACTCTTTAACGAGAGTCAGACATGTGGCCCAGGCGGGCCCCTTGGGCAATGGGGGTGCTTAGGAAGCCAGGGTGGACGGGAGCCCCTGAAGCCACGGGTGCTGTAGAGAGGTCCCCCAAAAGGAGAACACTCCTATTTATGTTTGAGAAAGAGAGCCAAAATTTAGTTATAGTGATCCTTAGGAATTAAAAAAAATGCAAAAGGAAATTTAAAACAACTTCACGTTTGTGACTTGAAAACAGAAGTGCATTCCAGAACCATCCTGATGCTGTAGCTTTATCCTCAGGATGTTTGGGATCAGACACAAGGGTGTGTCTAGGCCTGTTAAAATGCAGGGGCCCTGGCTCTGAGTCCTCCAGAATCTATCACTCTGACCCCATGTGTGTTTGGAAAAGGCTCCAGCCGACCCCGGCTGTGCATTCACGGAGACGCCACTGGGCAGCCAGTGTGCAGTGGAGCCTGGTGGGCACACCGCGCTCTGGATCCTGTGAGGCACAGCTCTCACCTGCCGCCTGGGAGAAGCAGGCTTTCCAGAACATTCTGTTCACGAGCCTGAGTCCTCCTCCTAGGCAGCCCTAAGTCATTACTGGGGTCTAGTGGCTCCCGGTGAAGCATGTGCCGTCAGCAAGCCCAGGGCCTCGCCCAGACTCCGAGCCATAAAGCCGTTGTGAGAGCCAGGCTAGCCAGGGCTCAGGGAGGAAGGCCCACATGCCCGTGTTTCCAAGCTGTGTGTCAAGACACAGTGGAAGTCACTTGTCACAGCATCGCTCAGTTGCCCAACACGACCCTCTGACATAGCTGGACAAGAGGAAGCGCGGGGAGGGGAGGGCATTGCTAGGGGACTGAGCCAGGGGCCACTGTGGCCCCCCAACCTTGCCGAGCACGGACGCGGTCCTGACACCTGTGGACGCAGGCTCTGGTTGAAGCCACAAGCTGATCTAGGCCTGCCATCCAGACCAGGGTTGGCCACAGCCTGCCACACCTGTCTTGACCTCAGGGTGCTTGTCACACTTTAGAGTCGTGGAATATGGGAGGAGGAGGAGGAGGGAAAGAAAGCCCCGGGCGTCTCCTGCCCAGCCCTTAACAGAAGCTGCGTGTCCACCCTGGCCTGGCCATTCTCCAGCTTCCGCTGAGGGCTCGCACCAGGCGAGGAGGCGCTTGCCCACGAGGCCTGGGCCCCGCCCCGCAGGCGCGCCTCCCAGGGTCCCCGGTGGCTCCACGGCCAGGTCCAGCGGCTCAGCTTGCGTCCCCTCCCGGGCCTCAGTTCCCACTCTTCTGGCTGTCCGGCCTGGCTGGTGCTCCCTGTGGGCATCTGCCCTGAGGGGACAGGCCAGGCACAGCGAGAAGCGCCAGCTCTTGGTCCGCTGGGCCGCGGGGCCACCACCGCTGACGCCTACGTTGCCGGCCCACCATGCCGGGCCGCCCTCCCCCTTTTCCCAGGCCCTCCTCCCCTGGGTCTGGCCAGAGCATGGGCTTCGCGGCTGCTGCTTCCCACTCGCTTCCTTTGCTGGTGTCCTGACCGCCTGCGGGGCCGTTCCCCTCTCCCCACAAAGCTGGGCTGAGTCCCTCGGATGCCTTGGACGGCTGGTCCGGTACTGGTCTCTGTGCAGTTTCCCTGTCTCGGTTGCGCTGCCCACCAGGCCTGGCTCCCTGTTGACTTGGGCTCAGGCAGAGCTTGGCAAACCAGCTATGACACACGGGTCCAAGTTCGGTCTGTCCCTAGGAGCTGGCCCGCGACAGTGGCTGGTTTGCTTTGCTTCAGCCAAGTTGTGGCCACTGCTAGCCTCCAGAGTGTTTTTCTCCAGTGAAGTGGGCGTTGAGATCTCTCTCCATCACTGGGGAGTGACGTCCCACAACTGCAGTAAGCCAGGACATGGTGGGGGTGACTCACTGGGGGTCACTTTGGGATCTGCCAGCTGCCCCGCCAACACTAGCCCGGACCCTTCTGACCCCAGTGGGGGGGTGGGGCCTGTGGGGTACACAGAGCCTGAGCCTCCAAGATGCCACCAAGTTGGGGGAGAGCAGTTGGAGCCGATTAAGACATCCCACGGGGCATTCCAGATGGTGAGCTCTGGGGCAGCACAGAACCCAGCCACGTGTGACCCTGTGCACCATGCAGAAAGTGCGAGGTGCTCTCCGGGCTGCTCACCCACCCATGCTCCAGTTGGGCTCCATCAAGTCAAGAAGTGGAGGCCCGACACCCTGCTGGCCTGACCTTTGGGCATTTTAAGGTTAGTGGCTGATGGGGCGGCAGTGGGGCTGGGTAGCCTGCATGAGGGACGGTTGTCAACCTTGATCACTGACGGAGGCACCAGATTTGTAAGACGCAAAAGGCCAAAGCCAAGCAGGGAGGCCCCAGTGCAGGCTGTGCATGGGATGGCCACAGCTGTGCTCTGGTGTGCCACCTGCCATGTCTGGACACGTCGAGGGATGAGGGACTCCAGGACCGAACAGCTCTCCTGTAATTACAATTTAAACCAGCTCTTGTTTCCATCTGGGTCCTTCCAGAAGCCACGAGCCCATTTGTCCAGCATTAACCAACCCCAGAGCAATGAGGCTGGCTCACTTCCATCCCCAGAGCACCTCCTGGAATCCTTATGTGCCCAGATTGAGCAGGTAGGGCTGCGGTCCTAGGACCCCAGGGCATGGCAGGCACCCTTAAAATATGCTTCTAATGATGGGTGTGCCCAGGTGAGGCAAGGGCCCTGTGGTCAGTGAGAAAATCAGGCCCTGGTCCTGGTGGGATGCTGGGGCCCATTATCCCGTTTCTCATCCTGTAGCTGGTGTTGGGATCACCCAGCCACTGTACCTGCAGTGCGGTGGACATTCAGTGGGAAGGGAGGAGGGAGGGCACTGCGGCCATTACAGTCACCACATGGTGGGGTGGGCTTGGGCCTGCCCTGAAGGGGCATGCCCTGGAGCTTGGGGCCGCCTTCACGGTGGACATCTGGTCTCTGTTAAACCTTTCCCCTCCCCCTTCGCCCCCAGCACAAACGTTCTTTTGACCAGAACATGCGAGAACAGCCTGGCACGTGGGGGTGGTAGGGCCGGGGCTGCTGTCCTTTGAAGCCAGAGTTGTCCGTGCCATTCAGAGGAAAGCGGAAATGTGCCGCGTGGCTCCCCTGGGTGTGGGCCCCCGGCAGTCTCTTGCGTACGCCGACCCATGGGGCCTGGTGGCCTGGCTTGCTCGGTACCATCTTGATGTTTACTGGGACACGAAAGCTTCCAAGACAGCCACAAGACTGCAATTCCTGCCTGCCATTCTAGACAGCCAGGGATTATGCTTAATTGATAAAAGCCCGGAATTGGGTCTCTATTCAGGGACTTGGATGAAGGGGATTAGTGACTCCAGCCCCCTGCAGTCTCAGCATGTGGAAACAGCCCTCAGAAAGAGCTGGAAGCTGTCACGTCTCAAAAACAACCCAGTCATGACCTGATGCAGGTGCTCCAGCAGTGACCGGTGCTTTTGTCCTCTGGCAAGGGTGCGTTCCCTCTAGAAGACAGGAATGAGCTGACCAGCTGTAAACCACAAACTTGTGGGCGCTGGGCAGGGTGCGCTCTTGGAAGGGAGGTGGTGGGCTTGCCGCCGCCTGGCCTGCCTGTCTTCAGAGCCCCCAGCCTGTGAGCTGACTGTGGCCCATAGGCAGACCTCCACACGAGATCCCCAAGAGCGCAGACCACAGTGTGCCCCATGCCGAGAGTTTCTGCTGCACTCTGCACGTGCTCAGCCAGTCACAGGAATCACCATGGTGAGCGGAGGAACCCAGCAACCACGGCAAGGTGGGAAGGCCCAGTACCCACGGGAGCCCCGTGGCCAGGAGCAGAACTGCTGACCCAGACTCCTAGATCCTGGGAGAAAACAGGAGCCCTGTGGAAGCAGTTGTAGGTCCAGTGTCTTGTGAGTTCCTTCGCCTGTGGCCACAGACAAGGCAGCAACGTGGCAGCCCAGTAAGCAGGCCCAGTTGAGAGCGGGTGCCCAGCGGTTCTGCTGCCTGCTGCCCGGAACGTTCTCGGGGAGAGCAGCCCAGACCAAAGACTCCAGAATTGAGCTGCTTAGACTCCCACTCTCCTGGCGATTGGATCCATGGAACGTCCCCACCTCTGAGGCGACGGGGCCCTGTGGCTCCCAGCCGTGCTCTCCCCTGGGTGGGCTGGACCTGGAGGGACGGCACCACCACGCCCATCTCAGGGCAAGATGCACACCGCTTCCAAAGGAAGACACAATGGGCACCGCGCCAGACGTGCGAGGACACAAGCCACGCGTTAGGGGCAGCGGCTGTGCCAGCTGGCGGTCTCTCGATGTCGGTGCCCAGAGGCAGCGCAGGGTGGAAGGAAGCGTGTGCTTGGACTCCAGTGGGCAGGGTCTGTGGGTGCAGCCAGAGGTGCCCGACGGGGTGGAGGCCACCATCCCCTCTGCATGCTAGGGCCAGAGGCCTGTCCCACCCCACCGCCTGCCAGCTAGCCTCTGGCTGGGGTTTGGGGCAGGTGCCCCGTGTACACCTGAAGACCAGCGAGGACAGAGGAATGAGAGCCCGGGAGTGCTGAGCGAGTGCAGCCGAGGGCAGGGGCGCTGCGGGGCAAGAGGCTGGGTCGCTGTGATGTTCGCTGGCCAGGGCTGCCGAGACAAAGGGCCACCGATGGGGCTTAAAACAGCAGCGGCTTCTCCTTGAGTTCTGAGTCCAAGGTCAAGGCACTGGCAGGGCCGTGCTCCTTCTGAAGGCCACAGGGGTGGGTCCCTCCCTTCCTCTCCCTTCCTCTCCCTTCCTCTCCCTTCCTCTCCCTTCCTCTCCCTTCCTCTCCCTTCCTCTCCCAGCCACCCCTGGTGTTCCTCAGCTTGTTCTGTTCTTTCATCAGGACTCCAGTCATCGGATGCAGGACCCACCTGAGTCCAGGGTGGCCTCCCCTTGACTGCATCTGCAGAGACTATTTCCAAGTAAGGCTGTGGTCACAGGTTGTGAATGGACGTGAGCTTGGGGGAGACACTTTTCAACCCAGTAAGCTGCAGAGGCCTGACTTCTGTTCCACACGGTCTTCCTGGAGTATGGTGACTGTTTCTTCTGAGATGAGGCCAGTCCTCCCAGAGAGGCTGGTGGAGGCAGCACGAGGGGCTGCAGCACTCACCGCATGCCTACTGGGCACCAAGCACGTGACTAGCACTGTCCTGGGGGACGCACTGATGGCCCTTGGGGCCTGCGTGCCCTCTTCCTGCCTCCTGTTCTAGCTGGGGTGGGGGCGGGGGCATTTCATCTCAGATGCGCAGCCCACTTTCTCTGTTGTCCAAACAGGAGGTGGGTCTCCGCTCTCTGGGCCTCCCGCCTGGGCTCTGCGAGGGTGCGATTATCGTGAGACCAGGACGCCTGTCCCCTCATCCTCCTCCACAGCCTGCTGCAGGTGTCCCGGGGGGAGGGGGGCGTGGGCAGGGCCAGGCGGGCAGGGCCGGGCCCAGGTAGGCCACAGGCACCCCCTGAGGCTTGGCCATCCCCGTGTCCCCAGCTCTCCTCGTTGATGGGCTTTTCTCAGCCAGGGCTGTGGTGGTGACTGGCCCTGGGAGCCCATGGTGGGTGGCTCCTTCAGGAAGGTGTGACAAACAGAAAGGGCCATCCGGGGAGCTGGGCTCCAGCCCTGGAAGGGAGCGCGTGTGTAAGTGGCGCTCAGAAAGACGCACATGTGCACGTGGGCACACACGTCCCCAAGACAGAGCCGGGAAACCCTCCGGGCTGGAAAGGCCGGGCTGCCGGGGCTGTGGGAGGCGGTGGCAGAGTCAGTGGGTGACGGTGGGTTCATCTTCTGCAGCAGCCCCACCTTCAGGGCTTGGGATACAATGAGCTGGACCTTGGACCAGTGCCTGTGTGGCAGGGTCCACCCCCTGGGCAGAGGGCTGTGAGTTGGGAGTGCTCCTCCACCTGCCGGGCTATCTCCAGGGCATCCCCGGTGCGGGTGCTGTTTGGAAGGAGGACTTAGGTCCGCCGGGCCCTGCTGTCCAGGCTGCCCACAACAGGGTGACCACCAGTCCTCCACCCACGCCAGCCCTGGGGGCACAGGCAGAGGGCCACACAGTTCTCTCCTCCCCCAGCATAGGCATGCTCTTCCTTGGCACCGGGCAGCCTCTGGGGATAGGAACTTTCTGGGTATTCAAGGGAAGCAGCCCCTGCCTGCTATAAAAGGGGTCTAGAGGCTTGGGGTGCAGCCAGGGCTAAACACGCCTGGCCAGGCAGCTCCCCGCAGCTTAGTCGCACGTGAGGCCTAGCAGATGGGGCCTGCAGGCTGCCCTCCTGGGGGTCCCGCAGGCCTGACGGTCATGACAATGTGGACACAGTTCAGGGAAGGAACACAGAACACGCTGGGGGACTCGCAGACAGAAGCAAAGCGGACTGAACAGACGGAAACGGGCTCCAGGACTGGGGCCTGCAGCAGGACCCAAAACGGACGACACAAGGCTGGCAGCACATGGGACGGCACGCGCGGGTACAGGGAAGGTCTCTATTCCACCGGGAAGGCATGGGCAGGGGCGCGCGAGACAGACACTGGCTCCTCCCTTACCCTTCTTCTTCCGGACCGAGGCTTGCAAACAGAAAGGGAGTGCTGTGAGCCACCGGATGGCAGCGCCCACCCACAGCCTGACTCAGGCCTCATCAGTGTAGGGAGCCCCCAGGGGACAGGCGGGGCCGGCGTGGAGGCCCGAGGCGGGGCAGTGGGCAGGGGCAGGGCCATGTGACGGGCAGCCCATGGGCTGCCCTACAGACAGTGGCTTCCCGCCGGCTCTCCCCGAATCTAACGCCGGGCGCCGGAGAGGGCATTCCTCTTGACTGGGCCCTGCGGCTGCCATGTGGGACGCCCCCCACCAGGCTGCCAGGCGCGGGGCGGCGGGGCAGACCCAGGGGGCGCCTGAGGCCTGCCTGGAGCACAGGCTGTGGCTTCACACCCGTGTCCCTCAGCCTCCGGGCGGAGCCCCTGGGAACATCCGTGTCTGTCGCCAGGAGAGCGGCCGGGCGCCTGCCCTCCTCTCGGAGAAGGGCGCACAGCCACCTGCCTGGCCACCGGGGGGGCTCGGGCCCATGGAGCGGATTTTCCGGAGGGCTGTGTTGGAACGGGGAGCGAGGCAGGGGCCGGAAGGCATGGGGGGCTGTGGGCCCTGAGCACTGCGGCGGGGCTGCTTTTCCCGAGCCCACGGCCTCAGCCCGGGCTGCTTCTGGGCCCAGAATGCCGTGAGACATGGCCGGCAGCCTCGGGGCACTGGAGGGGCCTCGCTGCTTCAGCCCATCTGATGGGCCGCTCTCGGAAAGCTGCCCCGTGCCCAGGACGCAAGGAGGAGGGGCCTTGTGAGTGAGTGCCAGAGGGCTCTGGCTCAGCCCCAGGGACAGCTGGACCGGGCGGGCCGTGAGCGGCTCTGTCTCCGCCCACAGACGCTGCCTTCGCAGCCCCTGTCCGTGCTCCCGTGGAGTGAGTGTCGCCACCCACACGCCATCTTGCCAAAGGTGTCCCTGGGCTCCATGGTGACGCCCCAGTGCGGCATTTGCCGCATCTGGCAGGCTCCTGCGGCCAGCGCCCACGCCATCCCCTTGAACAGCCGCCATGGCCCACGCGGCTGGCAGGCGCCCCCCCTACTGTACAAGATGGGGTCGGAGGGCAGAGCCTTGCTCTGTTCCCTAGAGCCCTTGAGAGAAGGTGCCAGGGGCTCCCCAAGCCTGGTGTGGGCCAGGCAGATCTGCCAGGCTACGCTGTCCATGCTAAGTCCCTGGGGGCTGGAGCCTCCTGTGTGGGAGCAGCTCGCACGGGCCCCTGGACAATGGGAGGGCGGCCCTGGGGACCTGTGGGGCTGCTTACCTTTCTCCACTAGTGAGAGGCCCAGAGATTCAAAACAAAATGATGTTAGACCAACAGCAGCGGGCAAGGTGGGACTAGTAACCACACCCCACAGGGCTCCAGGTGGGGGCACCGGACATGCAGGGCGCTTCCTGATTCCGTGGCTGGGGGCAGGGGCAGGAAGGGGTGGCAGGCGAGCGCAGGCCATGCTGGGGCCAGGCGTCGTGGAGGGCACCAGGGACAGGCTTTGGCAACGGCGCAGGGCGGGTGGCCAGACGCGTGACTTACCGAGCTCCTCCAGCTCCGAGGTCATGGACTTGGAGCGCAGGGTGAGGGCCGTGGTGGGCGCTCGCTTGGGAGGCGGGGGTGCTTGATGGTGGAGGAAAGACAGGGGTGAGAACCCGGCCGTGGCACCCCCAGCCTCCAGCTTTCCCCGGCTCCCCCTGCTCCTGGACTCTGGGAGATGTGGGGGGCGGTGACCCTTGGGACTGCGACTCTCGGTGGGGAGGGCTGACGCGGGGGGGCGGGCTCCGCCACGCCACGGTGTCCAGGGGGGCGTCACATGGCAGGGCAGGTGGCTCTGCGGGCTCCTTTGGCCACAGGGTCAGGAACCGTGCAGGTGTGCTGAGGGGGAAGGGACGGGCTCTCGGGGCAGGGGGTCTTGCCGTGCTCCTGTACTGCAGGCCCTGCCTTCTTGCCAGGCGGGTCTGGCCAGGGAGGGACGGTGTGCCGGCCCGGCTCTGTCTGCAGGTGCTTGCTGGGGACTGGCAGGGCATGACTAATGGGGCACGGACGGTTCCAGCGGCCTGTGAGCCCTGATTCCATGTCATGGGCCCTGGTGGCAAATCCCAGCCTCGCCCCTATGTTCGGGCTCCTCGGAAGGCAGCTCAGAGGCAGAGAAGGTCCACCCTGCAGGGCAGACGCAGGTATCTGGTGGCCTGGGGTGCATACCTTTCTTCCTGGCAGTGTCGTCCGGGTCCAGGTTCCTGGTCACCGTGACCACCTTAAGGACGAGGTGATTCCCTCCCTGGCGGATCATGTTGACCACCTGCCTGTGGCCGACTTTGACCACGTTCTCATTGTTTACCTGCGGGAAGAGGAAGCGGTGTCAGGAAGAGAGCCAGCAGGTGGGGGGGTGGGGCAGTGGAGGCAGCTGATGGCCACAGGCAGCTGTGCAGGCTCTGACACGGAGAGTAGGCCAGGGGCCCAGGAACGTGTCATGAGACTGCGGTCTTTCTGGAAGCAAAGGGCTTTTGGGGAAACCAGAACGATTGCCACTGTGGCTGTGCACTTAGCTGTGGCCAGAGGCCAGGGTTGGTGAGGCTGAGGAAGCTAGGGCAGGCCTAGAGAGGCTGGGGGTCCAGTGAGGCCAGGTGAGTCCAGGTGTGGCCGGGCAGACCCAGGAGGCTGGGCCGGCGCCACTCATCTGACACACAGTGGTCTCCACAACTGCCCCGTGGCTGCAGGGTCAAGGCTGATTCTTATCTGTCCTCAGCCCTCTCTCACAGGCCGGGGCAAGTTCACAGCCACCAGGGCCAGGCAAAGGGCCTGACAAGACTTCCAGGGTCAGCCAAGGCTGCCCGTTCTCGCAGCGAGGAGAGAACACCTCACTGCGACCGCCCGCTTCCTCCTCGAGGCGACACAGACACCGGCTCACAGTGGGTGCCCTGCCCTCACGTTGGCTGCCGAGTGTCTTGGAAAGGTGATGGCTGGTTTGGGACCCCCCAGGCTGGCATACCATGACCACTGCATGGCTCTGTGCTTCAGGGGCTCCTGGCCCCTTCTGGAGCCTGCCACCTCCCTGCCCACTTGTCCCCACAGTGGCACCTGCACCTGGCACAGAGGCAGAAGTGGACTCAGGGCGCCTCCCACAGGCGGGGGGGCTGGGCCCAGTCCCTACGTCAGGCGCGCTTCTCGCCCTCTCCGGCCGCCGCCCCCGCCACTGCCAGAAGTAAAGCGAGCCACAGAGAGGCCTGGGCGGGCGTTGGGCCCACACTGGCAGCCCCGGTTGCCACGGACACGGCCCGGCGGTGGTTTTTGGACTTTGCGGGGAAAAGTCCCTGCCCTACCCTGCCCACGGACCCGAGCCCAACGCGTGGGCTCTGCCCCTTCATCCCCCAGCTTCTGGGTGGGAGTGCAGCCCGCGGCGCTTCTGCCGGTCCCAGCCCACACACCTCAGTGGCAGTGGGGGAGGGAGGGAGGAAGTCCACAGCCACCTCACACCCAGTCTCTGAACGAGAAAATCGCCCAGCATGTGAACAGCAAAGCTGCCCAGCACTCCTGAGGTCCCAGTGCCGCCCCCCTCCCCCGGGGCTACACAGCCTCAGGCGGGAGAGTCAGGACAGAATTGCTGCTTGGGGAACTCACATGGCTCTCACACCCCGTGCAGCCAGCTCTGGGCGAGGAGCGGGTGCCGCCCAGATCCCAGCCTGATGCTGGGCACGGGGTGTGTGGGCGCCCGTCACCTCTGACCCGGCCGCAGGGCTCTCCAGGGAAGCTCCGGGAAGCCCAGGACATGGACCAGGGCAGTCCCCATGCGAGCCGCTCTGCCGTCTCACCACCCCGGGACCGGCTTGTCCCCGTTCCCCGGACCTGGTGGGCTGCAGCACTGAGCGTCCCACGTCCCAGGAACACCCTCGGCCCTGGGCACTGGACGACCGGCCACCCCGCGCGGCCCTGGAGATGCAGCCTCAGGGGCAGGCCCGTCCCGGGGGCCCATGGAGAGAGCCCCCAACCCAGGGCAGTGGCATTCTCTGCAGAGTGAGGCCCTCGGCCCGCCCGTTCGCGGAGTGTGGCTAGGAGACCAGGTGACCTCGGGGAGTCAGCAAGTCGCAGGGAGGAGGGTGCCGGGGTTCTGAGGGCAGCCCCAGGGGCCCAGCGACCCCTCATGCTGTGTCGACGCTGAGGCACGTGCACACAGCACGGCGGCGCTCTGTGTTCGGCGACACTGCTCTCTCTCTCCTCCAGGTGGCCCCCAGGGCAGCGAGAGCTGCCTGGGAGCTCACACATCCTCCGCTCCTCCACCCACGGGAAGCCAGAGGTAGACCATCCGTCCCGGCCTTCGGGGCCGACACTGTCATGGGAGAGCACACAGCACATGAGGCGCACGGAGGGCCCCCGCGAGGTCAGAATCGAGGAAGGTGGGAGGGTCAGCTGGGCAGAGGGTGTGCCCAGGCGGGGGCCCGAGACAGGGGCCACTGGTGCTTGCAGGATCAAGGAAGGGGCAGCAGAAATGACAGGGGTACCAGGGCCTGAGGCCCGAGGGCAGGGCCTGGAGCACCAGGGAGCAGCCAGGTCCCTCGCCGGGATGGGGCTGCTCCTGGGTTCTGGCCCGAGCAGCTAGGAGCGTCAGGTAGGTTTCCTGCACCTGATGCTCAGAGCCCCCAAGGGGCTGGCACCGGGCTTCGGGCCACCAGGCTCCAGTTGGGCCTCCCTGTGGCTCATTTGGCTGACGGGGGCTCGAGCCTCAGCCTCCCTCTGCCAACCCAGCCCCCGGCCCTCAGGACCATGAGCTGACTCCCCGGACTCCTGTTCTCTGGGCTCTTCTGTGTCTGTGTGTCCTCCCACGCCCTTGAGCTGGCCCCTAGCCACATGGGGTCAAGAGCTTTGCTTCTGTGACAGGGGAGGGCTGGGAGGCCCGAGACTCCCTTTCTCTGAACAGACACTGCTGTTCTCTGGGGGAGGGGCCTGTGTGTTAGGAACAGGGCCTCCCAGGGAGTGAGCTGGTAATGGTGGGTTCTCGGGCAGTTTGGCCGCCGGGGAAGGGGACCTCGGTGGCCCCGGCACCACCTGCATCTGCAGCCGCCAGCCGGGGCACACATTCTGGTGGCGCCTCTATGGGCTCCCGCTTCCCATGCCACGGGGAATGCCCACGGGCTGGGTTGGCTTGCCCATGGGGCTGGGGCTGGCTCCCCAGAGGGGGCATTTTGTATCTGGGTCCCTGCCGATCCCACCCAAACTCGAACGGCACGGACAGTTCGGGAAGGCGGAGGAGGTGATGCTGCAGTGGGGACGCTGAAGGCTTTGGCCTTGGCCGGAAACCAAGGACAGAGGCTCACGGAGCCCGCAGGAGCTGCAGCCGGGTTTGGAAGCAGGGCTTGGGCATCGCATGCCCCTCCGGTTCCCCGAGGGCTTTCTGACCTGAGTCCTCTAGGTCAGGAGCCTCTGACATGGGGAACCAAGCGCTGCTTGCAAACAAAGCTACTGTGGACGCGTCCCACTGCAGCTGCCCTGCCTGCAGGCTTGCTCATCCTCCTCCTCGCAGGATGGCACCAGGTGGGCCTTGGTCCTGGTGATCACGGGCACCCCCCCGAGTTGGCGGTATTGTGGGGTCCCATGCCGCTTGCTGGGTACTTGGGCAGGACACCTGCCTCTCTGGCGGGTTGTGTCCTCAGTAGACAGACACAGGTTGCCCGCCCCACCTCGACTGGCCTGTGGGCCAGGGGATGCCATCCACACATCCCGGGATGCTACCCTTGGTCGCCCCATCTGGGAAAACCAAGACTGCCGGGGCCAAGTCCTGCCTGCACAGCGCTTCAGTCCACTTTAACTTACTGTCACAATTCAGAGGATGAGACTCTTATGGAAAAAGTCCAGAATGTCAGCTTCCACGGAAGAGGCGGAAACCTTACCCCCAAGGCCCTGGGCCCCCACACCCCCGTGGCATCCTGCCCTGTGTGTCGCCGGGCCTATACTGGATGGTGACCTTTGCTGCCACCAGGGAAGCAGAACTGCCATCGCTGCCTCTGAAGCGGTCTGCTTTTTGAATTTTGGAAGGGAACAGACTGAAGTGTGCACATTGCTCGTCTCCAAAATCAGCCCCGGTGACATTTGCAAAAGGATTTTGGTTTGCTCAGGAAACTGCATGTGACGAGTGCAGCTGAGCTGGGCTCAGCCTCTGAGCGCAAGGAGGAAGCGTGTTGTGTGGGCGGGCGTGGGGGCAGAGGCAGGTGACCATCCTGTTGGTCACCACGGTTCAAGTTACATGGAACCACAGAGCATGCCCAGTGGACAGGTGTGGATGTGAGGTCTGCAGGGCCCCAAGCCTGGGCTGGCGACACCAGGAAAGTGGTTCCTGAACTCACCCTTCATTTGGAAACCTCACTGCTTCCATCCACGAAAAGTCAGCTCCAGCATCAAGCATGTGATCCCAGTGACACGCATGTGAGAGCAGACTGCGAATGCCCTCAAGGCCCTCAGAACGCAACTTTCCCCGAGCAGCTGGGGCTGGGTGGCGGCCGCAGGAGCCACCAGCAGACCCCCGGCCATGACCAGTGGTTGGCCGGCCGGGAGGAGGGTGTTGGGGCGGGAGCTCGGAGGGCGGGGGTGGGGGGATGCCGCCATTGGAAAATGCCTGCAGGGGCCCTGGGAGGGAGCAGGCAGGGCGGGAGCCCCTCCCCCGGCCCACAGAGGCCCTCCTGGGGGCCTCAGTCAACACAGGGGTGCCAGTCCCTGAGAGGAGGCTGTCCCTTCTGGCTCCTCCCTCCCCCACTTCTGCCACTGGACTCAGCTCTCTGTGAGGCCTCTGGGTGCTGGTCCCACCTCTCTCTTCCCTCCTCCCCCTGCAGGAAGTGGGTCTCCTCCAGGATGGGACGTTGGCGGGGTTTTTGACATCACCTGCTTCTGGCTTGAGGGGAGTGTCTGCCTCAGACCAGCTACGGCCTCCCTGGAGGTCCCCGGAACCAGCCTCAGGCTGGCACACAAGGGCAGGAGCCCCGTTCCCAGCTGCCTTTCCTTTCCTGGGTGAAGGCGAAATGCAACGCCCTTCCTAGGCAGGACAGTTTCTCAGACTGCCACACACTGAACAGCCTGCCCAAGAGGCTGTGCCCCCTCTCCTCACCACGGGGTCCTGAGTTCTCACCTCCTGCAAAGTGAATGAGCTTGGCTGGAGCCCCACCCCGAGTGAGAAATGTACCGGGTCAGAGCTGGGCAGCGTGGCTGTGGGCATCTGTGGATTTGCCACCGGTGTGCAGGCGAGCACTTGCATAGTGGGCACAGGGATGCCAGAGGAGGTGTGCCCTGATGCCAGCACACACTCCTGACAAAGAGCGGGGCAGAAGCGTGAGGCTGGCAGGCCTCAGCGTGGCA